ATATATAAGTATATACGTTGGCCACTAATACAAACACGCATGCACACTCATTTCGTGTCACAATTAACTATCGTTATCGGCGATGTGAGTGGGCTCTCAGTCAGCTGATTCAGTGCCACCGCAAAGTGTAACAACACTTACCAACCTCGATAGTATTGCTAATTACATTTGATGTCATCGGTAGAATTATTTGTTCACGTATTTTAATCTTAAATATAGTATAAAAATCTAACAATATTAGCTATATTTAATATCAAGTGCAATGTTTTTTTTACAATTTTTTTTTTTTAATTCATCAGTACACGATCCGATATATTTTTTCGATACTCTTTTGTTTAATACCAACATCGATATATTGGATATGTTGGCTCTAGACAGTGCTGTCATTTTACTTCTTTGCCGTCAAATTTGGCTTTATTTTAAGTTCCATTGCGGCATAAGCTTACACTTCGTTTCGCCATTGCTGGTACTCAGGAAAAATGATTAAAAAAAGGAATTAAATGAAACAAATATATATTTGTTTGAATTATAAACCATGAAATAACAATTTGGGACGATTGAATAATATGAATTTAACCGAGAAAATAGCGTCGCTTGATTTTGTTTAATTTTCTTCAGTTTAGCTCTTTTTAGCTGCTTCTTTTCGCAATCCAGCTTTATTTACTCAAAATATTATGACAGCACTGGCTGTGAAAAACACAAGTGAAAAATCACTTGGCCGGTAAACACGCGGCAGACAGTGGGCTTGACGTAAATTAAATAAAACTACTATTGACAACCTCAGTTAAAGAGCAATCCACGCATTTACTGTAACCGGAGTGTGAATGCTTTGGGTCCACCGTAGCAGTCAGTGCTTCAAATTTTTCCTATTACCAGTCAGATCATTGTCGTCGTCAGGGACAATCACAACAAATTCTCAGTGTCATTTAAAATTGTTACTGTCGTCGGACGGTCAATTCGCACGGCACGCAGCTAAACGAAATAACAAGCAATTAATACTAAACTCAAGGAATCATAAACGAGTGCTCTATACAATGGCGGAGCAAATTATATACTTGGACATTCCCGATAAATCGGCGATGGACAAAAAATTCTACAAGTAAGTAACGCACATCATAGTATAGCTATACAAAAACATATACATACATAGCATACGACTTGTACGTGCATGCATATGCAAATGGCACGTGTATTTGCTAACTAGCCACAATTTGTGTTTAATTTTCGATGCTGCGGATGAAGAGCTTAACGAAGAGAAAACACCAAGTCCACGAGTGTTTAGGCGCGATTAGTTGTTTAATGAAACGAGTATAAGAGCTATAATGGAACTAGTAGTAAATACAGATATAAGAGTTTCTTAACATACATTTATTGTCTATATAGGTTTATATCTTGATCTCATCCCTCATTTCACTCGTTGCAGATCAATTCTTTTACCCAATGGACTACGCGCTCTTATCATATCGGATCCGAGTCCGGTGCCCCACGATGGCTTCACTACTTCAGAGTCATCGGTCGGCGAAGGAAGCGAGACTTCTGGAGAAACTGAGACCACGAACAGCTCAAGCGAGTACACAACGTCCACTTCGGGCAGCGGACACAGTACTTCGGATTCTGATAGCGAAGAGGGCGATGAGAAACTGGCCGCCTGTGCCATCCTCTTGGATTACGGCTCATTTTCCGAGCCGCGCGAATATCAGGGCTTGGCTCATTTTCTAGAACACATGATATTCATGGGCTCTGAAAAGTATCCCGAGGAGAATATGTTCGATGCACATATCAAGAAGTGCGGCGGATTCACGAACGCCATCACAGACTGCGAGGAGACCGTTTTCTACTTCGAGGTGGCCGAGAAGCATTTGGACTCCAGTCTGGACTACTTCACTGCCTTAATGAAGCACCCACTGATGAAGCAGGAGGCGATGCAGCGCGAACGCTGCTCCGTTGACTCGGAATTCCAGCAGATCGTGCAGGAGGATGAGACTAGACGTGACCAGCTGCTGGCCAGCCTGGCCACCTACGGCTATCCCCACGGCACCTTCGCCTGGGGCAATATGAAGACTCTCAAGGAGAACGTCGACGACAACGCGCTGCACAAGCTGCTGCACGAGGTCAGACGCGACCACTACGCTGCCAACCGGATGTACTTGTGCGTGCAAGCACGCCTGCCCATCGACGAGCTGGAGACCTTGGTGCTGCGCCACTTTGCCGACATACCCAGCAATCAGGTCGTGGCGCCAGATCTGTCCACATTCAGCTACAGGGATGCCTTTCGTCCCGAGTTCCATGAGCACGCGTTCTTCGTCAAGCCCGTGGAGAATGTTACCAAGCTGGAGCTGACCTGGGTGCTGCCCTGCGTGCGCAAATACTATCGCAGCAAACCGGACCAATTTCTTTCATTTTTGCTCGGCTACGAGGGCAAAGGCAGCCTCTGCGCCTACCTGCGCCGTCGTCTGTGGGCCCTGGAGCTGGTCGCTGGCATCGATGAGAACGGCTTTGATCTCAACTCAATGTACAGTCTGTTCAATGTGTGCATCTATCTAACCGACGAGGGTTTCAACAACTTGGACGATGTCCTAGCGGCCACGTTTGCCTATGTGAAAGTCATTGCTCAGGCTGATCCGAAGGCTCTACGCACTATCTACGAGGAGCAGCAAGGCATCGAAGAGATTGGCTTTCGCTTTCAGGCACAGCGTCCGGCCATGGACAATGTGCAGCAGCTGGTGCTGAACTGCAAATACTTTCCGCCCAAGGATGTGCTCACCGGCAAGGATCTGTACTACGAGTACAACGAGCAGGATTTGGTCTATCTGATCGGCCATCTAAACGAATTTAAATTTAATCTAATGCTGACTGCTAGGAAATACGGGGATTTGGTGTTCGATAAGCGCGAGCCGTGGTTTGGCACGGAATACACCAGCATCCCAATGCCAGAGAAGTGGACACATCTGTGGCGCGAATCGGATCCCAAAAAGATGCCCGAACTCTTTCTGCCTGAATCGAATCGATTCATTACCAAAAACTTTGACATCTATTGGCACCAGATGGGCAAACCCGTACTGACCGATTCGCCCAAGAGACTGCTGCAATCGGAGATCTGTGAGCTCTGGTTCCGCGGCGATGACAAATTCGAGCTGCCCGAGGCATACATGTCCTTCTATCTGATTTCACCGCTGCAGCGCAAAAGTGCCAAAAAGTAAGCACTCTATCCCCGTCTCTCTCACTCACTTTGAATTATTACCGATTAACTCTCTCACTCCATCTCTCTCTTGTCCGCCTACAGTGATACCATGTGCGCCTTGTACGAAGAGCTGGTCAAGTTCCACGTTAGCGAGGAACTGTATCCAGCCACCAGTGCTGGGCTCAACTACACCTTCAGCGTGGGCGAGAAGGGTCTCATACTGCAGGTGCATGGCTACAATGAGAAGCTGCATTTGCTTGTCGAGTCCATTGCCGACGCGATGATCAGAGTGCCATCAATGCTCACCGACGAGATGGTGGCCACCTTTGTGAAGGATCAACGCAAAACCTACTTCAATACGCTAATCAAACCACGTGCCCTAAACAGGTGAATCACCCACACACCTCTCTCCCTCTCTCTCACATGCACTCTCTGTTAGAGACCCTGTTTCTAATGGCTCTCCATTTTATTTTTAGGGATATTCGCCTGTGCGTAGTGGAGCATTTGCGCTGGCTTATGATCGACAAGTACAAAAGCCTTAACGACATCACACTAAGGGATCTGCAGGAGTTCGCCACGCTCTTTCCACAGCAGCTGTATGTGCAGGGCCTCGTGCAGGGCAACGTAACGGAGGAGCAGGCCCACAATGTGATGAACACGCTGTTGAGTCGCCTCGGCTGCATGCAGATCGAGGAGCACTACTATGTGGAGGATCGAACAGTGCAGTTGCCACAGGGCGCACACTACATACGCTGCCACGCGCTAAACGAGCAGGATACGAACACTGTGATCACGAACTACTATCAGATCGGGCCGAACACCGTGCGTTTGGAGTGCATCTTGGATCTGCTGATGATGTTCGTCGAGGAGCCGCTGTTCGATCAGCTGCGCACCAAGGAACAGCTGGGCTACCACGTCGGCGCGACGGTCCGCATGAATTACGGCATTGCCGGCTACTCTATCATGGTCAATTCGCAGGAGACAAACACCACGGCCAGCCACGTGGAGAAGCGCATCGAGGTGTTCCGCAACAATATGCTGCAGATACTCGAGGATATGTCTCTAGAGGACTACGACCATACGCGCGACTCCCTCATCAAGCTGAAGCAGGTCGCCGACACGGCGCTGGTCACCGAGGTGTCGCGCAACTGGAACGA